GGAAATATACAAACTAAAAACCTTCGACGGCAAAATAATAAACGAACAAACAAATACCGCATCGGATGTTATATTCGAACCCTTAAAATTGATTTACGAAAAAAAGAAAAATGACAACAAAACAACAGGCATGGACACTCCGAACACACCAAAAAGCACCACCAGGGCAAAAATCACTGACTTTTACCTACCTGCAGGCAAAAACCATACAGCGACAACATAATGCATGTTAATATCGAAACAGCGAAGATGAACCTATTACCTGCTTCAAAAAATGGGCACCATGGCATCGACTTAATCATCGACGAAAATCACATTACCTAAGATAAATGAACATAAATTAGGGACAAATCTCGAACCAGACAGAACGAAAAATGACACTGAAGATGGCACAACGCCGAAACCGGTTTGTCTGCAAACCAAACTTGACAAGGGATGACGGAAATTCGTTCCAAAATAAAACAAAGAGTCCTTGCTGATCGGGAGAGCATGGCTTGTGCCAGCATAAATAGCACTACTATTGTCAGTTTGTGATCGACCAAAGCATAACTCTTGCCAACAGGCCTTTATTTTGATGTATTGTGGAACGAACCGGCGTTGTACCAAATTTGACAAGGAATTACGGAAAATCGATCCACAATATATCATATTCCAACAACGAAAATGAGAAATTTATTTTGGCTTATTGGAAAGTAGAGGTATTCGAGATCTGCAAAGAATACCAAAATTTACCTTTACAACGATGTCAGTTGAAATATGTCTTTCGGTGTTTTCGTGATACCCTGGCGAGAAGAAATTCTTGGAAAATCAAATTTATGCATTGTTAATCTACTGAAAATTAGAATTTTATATTTGTACCGAATGTACTTTCAAGTTACAAAAGTGTCAAAAAAGTAGAATGGGTACCTATTTTTCCATCACTGCTTCGTACTCAAATATATGTACCTATGTATGCAGTACGGGTAAATCTTGTTCAACTACCCAAGCGGATAACAATGACAATGATGATCATCACCATTGTGGGCCGACGATCGTCGTTATTACTTTTATTGGATTGCTCATTAACTGCGCTCACACGCTGGAGACGGCATGTGGAGTATGATAGCTCTACAGAGTGATTTTAGTTGGAGACTCTAATGCTTGAAATACAATACCGGCGAACGGCAAACTTCGCCGAATTGGGCGATGCTGTCGTTCACCGTTCGCCCAACTATTTCGCCTACTTAAACAGAATTAGAGCGGTAGCGAAAACAGCTGATCCCATTTGGTCGCCTTTATAATTTGGGTGACCATATTTAGAAAAAACTAAACCATATTTAGAAATGAGGAAATGATAACAAATATAAATGTAAAACAAAGAAAGATTATTATAAATAATTTGTTTCAAGCCAGATTTAACGAATCCACAACTATATTTTTCAAACAACAAAAA